ATACAAAGTAATCAAGTGTGTATTGTAATGATAAAATTATAATTTTAAAAGTAGTCGCATTTGATAATAAGGAAATCATACTTACAATTGAAACATTTTCATCAGATAATCGTTTCCATTGATTCCTGTTTTCAAGACATCCTTTGTATAACGGAAGAAGTGTTGGCCAACACTCGCTTAGTATCTGTTATCAGTTTAAGAGTTGAGGCATTGATTTGAGTGATTAATTAATGAGTAATTTAATACCTTATAAACGGGAAGGCATATGAGATCGATGAAAGTGACCTGCCTGCTTTCCATGAATGCATATTATATTAATCTTAAAATTGTCACCAATTCTTATAATAATAGGCTATTATTAATAGGAAATTGTTCTCACATTAGCGGCAGTTCGTGTTGCCTCTCCCTATCCATCATAGCGCTGGGCATTTGATTGAGTTTCTCCTTTTCGAGATCACCTTGCTCAAAGAATTCGTGAGCCACTAGTTCGGCCACTCGCTTCTGGATGTGCCAGGGCTTGAATGTGGCGCTTATATCACAGGCAGTCATCAGGATTCCTCTTATCAAGTCTTTAGTGCAAACATCACTCCAACTCTGTTCACCTCTTTTCACCAATTCTTCAAATTTATTCTTTTTTCTAATCATACATTCAATGGTTAATAATAAACATAATTTGAACAAAATATATCATTTGTTTCAATAACTGATTTGAAAACTAACTGAAAATATTGGTCTAAATCGGTGGAAAGAATGCACGACTCGATTATATGAATCACTTCTCTATAATCTTCTGGTGATAGCGATTGAAAAATATTGTTTCCCTAAAATATTCATCATTTTCAAAATAGTATTAATACCTGAGTTAAATTTTTAAAATTATAATAAATAAGAAAGTTTTACTAAAATATACTTCAGTATTGAGAATAAGTATGCAATGATTGAAGTGATGGTTTTCCATAATACTAGTCCCATAAAGTGTGGCCAAAGCTGAGCCAGTTCTTAAGCATTAAGAAATTGTTTCATTTAATAAAGTGCCATCGTTTGTAAAACACATTTGTACAACTTACTTTGTTTGAAAAGAATTGTTTGTTCCCCTGTGATCCAGGTCATGACATAATGAAGCTACAATTAATCCCAACTTCTCGTTTTCATTCATTATGTGATACATATT